TAGAAGATTTGAAGAATTGCTAGTGTTAGTAGGTTAACTGTAATTGTATAGCAATCCTACTAACATTTGAAGTTACTGCTCTCTAAAGAATGCATCTGATTCCCTAAAGCTATTCCTTCCCAAATGACTACCTTCCAAGTTTAGAGATATAATAGCAGAATTCAAGAATTTCCCCTGAAATTTCATTACGTATACAAATTTTAATTTCATTTAGGATTGACTGCAATTGCACTGTATTCATTTGTGAATAGGCTCCTTAGTTACCTACAGCAAAAATATCATAAGTGACATGAGGTTTGAATTACAACAAATTACAATACATTTCAGTTCATAATGACCCAGGGCATAAACAGAAACTTAGGTACACTCTGTCCTACGTCTCTAAGGCTGAATGGAACTATTTCTACTCCTTTTAGTAAAGCCTAATCCCTTCATTTTATATTCATTACTTCTCATATTTGCTGTTTTTTGGGTGTATATATTTCTCCCTAAAACTTCCTGTATTGTTACCAAGTCTGTGGGTATGTCCATCTTTGAGCAGCTGATATGCCCGTCCCCACCCCCTTTTTTTAAAGATTTTATTTATTTATTTTACAGAGCACAAGCAGGGAGAGGGGTAAAGGGAGAGAGAGAGGCAGGCTCCCCGCCAAACAGGGAGCCTGATGCGGGGCTCGATCGCAGGACCCCGGGTCTCGATCCCAGGACCCCAGGTCTCGATCCCAAGACCCCGGGATCACGACCTGAGCCGAAGGCAGACGCTTAATCATCTGAGCCACCCAGGCACCCCTCCGGTCCCCCTTTATACTTAAGCAGTTGCCCCATTTTATATGGCGTAGGGATGGCACACACCACAGGCTTGCACCTTGCTCTTGCAGGTGCAATAACAACGTGAACAGTCAGCTGGAAGCAAACCAGATCAGCCGGGATTCCGTTCTAGTAAGTGAGCACTTCACATCCATGGCAAACCAGGCAATTCAGGATGTTGTCTCATTTTACAGATAGGAAAACTTGTGTCAGACTCATTCTACGGGCTCATGCTTTGAATTCCTTGGATCATTGATTCCTAAACCTGTTTATAGTAATCACCCAGGGATCTTTAAAAAATGGCAGATTCCAGGACTCCTCATCAAACTTAGTAAGCAGAATCTTTTGAGGCCTGTGAACATCTGTGTCTAAAAAGCTCCCCAAGTGCTTTGATAAGAAACCATATTTGGGAACTTCTAATTTGTGATGACTGGGACTCACTTAAAAGTGTCCGAGTGGTGCATAATAGCCAAGGAGTGACTAAAGTCGCCATCTATGTGTACACCTTCTATGTGAACTATTTTGGGGCCTGCCATATCTAGGTATGCCTCTCCTCTGAGCCAAACCATATTTTATGCTTTTAATTGCAGAAAGAAGGAAATTTCAAAATATCAAGAGATATCCTGGGTAAAAGTACTCACCTGCCTTTATTTCCTATAAAATACAATATCCCTAAATACGCAGATCTAACTTAGACAGTTTTCATCCCCCTGCACAAAGATGTGTGACTTCAAGAGTTTGAACCTGGGTCCCTGAGCTCTTGGGGTGCACTTAGGGTGCACTTTGTGCTCTTGGGGTCCACCTCAGTAAAGGGATCACCCCTAGTCTTACAGTCAAGGTACTCTAGGCTCCACCTAAGATACCCTTCCAAGAAGGATGGGGATGGTTTGACCTTTTAAAACTTTTTTCAGAATAGAAATTACAGCCCCATGGTGAAGTCCATTTTATTTTATTTCAGATAGAAAAAGACAAATTTCTCCCTAATCTCTTTACAGAGACATGAAAACAAACAAACATGATTTCTAATCAAAAAAGACAATAACTAAGGTGCTAGAGGGTGCTACCCTTTTTTTCTCAAGGAAGATATGAAAAGGAGTTTTAGTTTACTTGCATAATTTGTTATATCCCTCTATTAGATGGGAGTAGTAGGAATTATTTAAGGGTGTTCTGTGATTCCCCCATGACAGGCATGATCCTCAAATCTATCAGTGCTACCTTGACCTCTGGCTCTAGGTTTACAAGGGCCTGTAGGAAAGTTCCACTTGAATGTCCTATCTCTGGCTAGCATCTCAAATTCTCTTTATGTCTCAGATATGCTTCTGTGTTAAGACTGGCCACAGGGGAAATTTGTGCAAGATTTCAAAGGCAGAAGTGAAACCCTTATGCTCTGAAGGTCAGTGTGAGATGTGAAGCACTGGGGCAGCTCATGCATGTAGATGCTGATCTGTTGGCATACCTGGGAGTGGGGCAGTGGCCACATGTGGAGCTCTCTCAGCAACTCTAGGACCTTCTTCAGTTTCTCTGAGTCCTGGGCCAGATGCATGTGCTTGGCTCCTATGAGCACTTGCAGCATGGCTCCTGCGGGCAACTGCATTATTGAGATTGTAGGTGTCAGAGACAGATGCACAGTTTGCACAGTCTAGTTTAATCTCATGGGATCCAGCAGTTCTTTGTGGATTCTGCTTTGTCCCTGCTCATCCTCACTTCATGTCCAGCTTTCCTGACTCTAAGCTCTATCGATTTACAGAAATTTCAGGTCCAACCCCAGACACAGAGGCAACCTCTTCTCCAGCTCCCACAGTTGTTTAAGACCTAGTCCCTAAAATAAACCTCTTATTTATACGACTCACAGTGCTTATGCTTCTCTGGTCAAATTCTGATCCAGACAATGGTACTGGAAGTAATTCCAGAACTAAAACTTAAGAATGGGATCTATGAATCTGTTCCAGGTTATCTGATCTGACTGGATTTAAAGGCACTGACAACCAGTTGTCAATGACAAAGGTGACACTGGTTGTCCATGGCATGCATTAGCAAAAAACAGTTTCTTAAATCATCACCTACGGACACCTGTAATCAAGTGCCTAAAGAAGGCAAGGCTTTGGGTAACCACGTGGATACTTCCATAAAATATTTAAACAAAAATAAGGAGTATAATGGAGTTGGTTGGTTTCTCCTAATTATGTTGGATAACTGGGGGAAAGGAAATGATGAGCTTAGGGCTTTGAATGTTCAGTTCAAGATAAAGGATCAGAAATCTCATGTGAAAAAGAAATCTTATGTGATTGTCTTCCTGTATCTGCAAGGCTGTACTTTCTAAAAATCAAATCCAAAATCTAATCCTGACTTACAATGCAGTTGAATTTCCAACTTGAAGATCTCATGTTAAAATTAATTTTTGTTTTTGTTTTTGAGCAGCAGTGAGATCCTGAATATTGGCATGGGAATGGGAACCTATGGGCAGATTGATGAGACTGGAATCATGAACTTCTAAATTCTGCTGAGCATCTTTTGCCTTTCCTCCCTTGCCTGAGGAACTTAGTCTCTCCTTACCTGTAAAATCTGTATTGGCCTCTCCTGGGATAGTTAGTTGCCTTGTACACTTATCATGATGCAAAAAAATAATAATAAAATGGAAAAAAAATTCTATCAACTTAGCTTAACAAAAAACTTCACCTTGATATCTATTTTTTTAAAATTTGAGATAGAGAGAGTGCATGCACGAGCAGGGGGGAGGGGCAGAGGGAGAGGGAGAAGCAGACTCCCCACTGAGCGGGGAGCCCAATGCAGGGCTCATCCCAGAACCCTGGGATCATGACCTGAGCCGAAAGCAGACACTTAACCAACTGAGCCACCATGTGCCCCTTGATATCTATTTTATTTACTTATTCTTTTAGTAATCTCTACACCCAACATGGGGATTGAACTCACAACCCTAAAATCAAGTGTCACATGCTCCTTCAACTGAGCCAGCCAGGCACCCTACACAGCCTTGATATCTGATTACCCTCAATACCTTATCAAATTCCTCATTCCCCAAGTAATATCTGATTACCTTGGACTGTCTTCAGCAAGAATTCTTTTAGGTCAAGTTAGCAAGAATTACCCTAACCTCTTAGTAACTTACTGACCACTGACCCTCTCCCCAACTCTGCTTGACTAAAATCCCCACATTTAGACATTGTCTCATTGAGTTCTCATACACTTTGCAAGATAGATGTTACTCCCATCCAGGGCCAGCTATGCAATTTGTAATTTCAGTGCAAAATGAAAAATGCAAGGCCTCTTGTTCATAAATTATTAAGAATTCCAAAATGGTGACAACATAGCATTGAATCTAGCACAGGCCCTATATAACTACAAGCCCATGGGGCCACCCCTTGCTTCCATCTTAACATTTAAGAAACAGGTTCATAGAGATCAAGCGAATACCCAAGGTCACTTTGTCAAGAGCCAGGACTATATCAGAGCCAGAATTGTAATAGGGGTTTGACCCCTACTAAACTCTCCCCAATTAAACGAGGCCCTTTTGTGTTGCACTGAATCTAATGAAGATTTTTCTAAATTTACTGAACACACACAAAATCTGCTGCCACTCACTTTCACTCTAGTTCAACCATGTACCCCCAGGTAGTCTTAAAATGCATTTACTGAATGTTTTAATATGTCGTATAAACTATTGTGATGAACCCCCAAAGAGTTCTTGCTGCATTTTCTTTTAAAATACTCTCCTGTAGTCTAACGGAAAATGCAGACATGTCTATGTGTAATGTCAATGCATGGAACTTAATTAAAAAAAAAAAGTACCTTAATGGCAGGCGTTGTAACACAAAATACTGCGGTAACATTCTAACTGGAACACCGAATTAGAGTATCATCACACATTTGGGTTTTTTTTTCTCTTTTTGTTTAAGTGACTACTACCAACTGGGACTCAATTAAACGTAAAGAAAACTGAAGCCCCCGCGTCAAGGAAAGACGCTTGAATGTGAAGGGACAAAAAGAGGAGGTCACGAGCACAAGCCCACACCACTCAAACACCCGGCCTTGGAATGCGCGCATGCGCAGAACGAATCCTCCTGCGCAGAGGCCGGGGTCGGAAGGGCTGGGGCGGGCGGGGGCGGGGATAGGGTTGCTAGGAGAACGCGATGACGCTACGGCCTCGGCGCTCTTCTCCGCCAATGGGTGCCGCCTGCTGCTGTGACACGTAATGTGCGTCACGCCGACGACGCCCGAAGGGCACAGATCTAAGGGTCGGGAGGACGTTCGGCCTCTGTGAGCCGCAGCCTTTTCGAGGGAGCGGTTGTGTGTTCGCCATCTTAGGAAGTGAGTGTGCCGGGCCTTGCTCCCGGTGGGTGCGGGGAACGGAGCCCCTCTGAGGAGTTGCTTAGGCTGTAGGCCTTGTCGATCTCCTTGGGGGAGGCCGCCATGACCTCTTCAAGGGCGCGGAGGCTGGAAGAAGGAAGGCCCGTCTCGGGGTCCTAGGGTGCCGGTGATTTTGGTGGCCTGAGGGGCCCCTTTGCCTTTCCTCTGACCGCTGCTCCCTCTTCCCTTAGGAAGATGTTCTCGTCCGTGGCGCATCTGGCGCGGGCGAATCCATTCAACGCGCCCCACCTGCAGCTGGTACACGATGGCCTCGCGGGCCCCCGCAGCAGCCCCGCGGGGCCCCCGGGCCCGCCCCGCCGTTCCCGCAATCTGGTAGCAGCCGCTGTGGAAGGTGAGCTTAGACCCTGCCCCGATACGGTCGTTTTGTGCCCTTGTGGTCCACTCGGCCTTAGCGGCCTGGAGGACAGAAAAGAAGTACGCTCCTGGCCTCCTGCACCATAGGACGGCGCCTAGTTGCTTGCCCTAGGATGTCAGCCCTTTTCGCCCTAGGCGGTGTGTCGGATCCTTGGCCCTCCCTCAAGGGCGTGGAAGGGCCCAGGCACAGTTCCCTCTGTGACCTCCACGTCCTCGGGAGAGTATAGAGGCCGTGACTAGCTCCTTATCTTCTCCGCCGTGAGCCCTCTTGGTCAGTAGACTGAGTGTTGAGTAAAGTCTCCTTCCTAGCCACTGGCCACCTGCAGTTCTATCTGTATTATCTGTTACTTGATCTGGCATTAATTTTCTTAAAAATACTCCTTCTCAAGCATTCCCGAAGTCTAATATTTGTTGACACGAGGTATATGAGATAATTGGGTTTCTTGTTTTAATGTAATTGGTAAAGGAGGGGACAGAAGCCCCAGATAACCTATAAAAAGGAGATAAATAATTGGTAGGGATCCCTTTAGTCTTCTCTCTCAGGAATCTTTTCGGTTAGACTCAACTTGAACTTAATTGTTAACGTTTTAAATCCCAGTGGAGTGTATGGGCAGAGAAACCTGAAAACCAAATTGTAGGAATTCTGTAAATGTAATCTACATTGTGTGCCTGTAAAATCTAAAGTTTTTGAATCATTTATGTGTTTCTTTTATGTCTTCGGTGTGGGTAAAAAAAATCATTACACTGTTGTGTAGTAAATGTATTTTACTTTAGGACTTTATCTAATTTTATGCTTAATATGAATCCATAAGTGGGGATAGTATTGATTAGTGACACACTTAGAAGTTTGAAAGTTTTTACTTAAGTCTAGTGCTCTTCCTGAGTTTGGTTTGTATTCTCAAGTGTGTTTTTATCAGCAGTAGATAATTTGAAGTTTGATTTTTATTCGAGTAGCTAGTAATGTTGTCAAAGACTTTTTAGTGTGGCAAAATAAGAACTAGTGTCTCACAGAACCTTCATAATCTAAATGATTCTTTGATTTTGGCAGTAAGTGTCTTGTTACTTAACACTAGGTGGAAAATCATCTTTCAACTTAATTGTAACCAGTGGCCAAGGCTGTTTAGTTGTGATAGCACTATTTCACAGGGAATCCTAGTTCTCTTTCATTCCCATGGCCTTAGTCATCTCTGAAGAAGTACTTACTTGATTTTTTCTTTCAATCAAACAGAGCAGTATAGCTGTGACTATGGATCTGGCAGATTCTTTATCCTCTGTGGACTTGGAGGAATTATTAGCTGTGGCACAACACATACAGCATTGGTTCCTCTAGATCTGGTTAAATGCAGAATGCAGGTTTGTTTTGCATGTTGGATTAAAAGCATATTGTTGAAGCATGGCTTTTAAGTTGTACAACATAGACCTCCACTAACAAGCTGTGTGGAAACCTAATTATCCGAGAGGTAAGTTGATAACCAGTAACATGAGTTTTATATTAAAATGCATGGTGTGTCTTGTCTTACTACAGAGTACAGTTGCGAATATGGCTCCATGAAGTTTTATGCACTGTGTGGCTTTGGTGGGGTCTTAAGTTGTGGTCTGACACACACTGCTGTTGTTCCTCTGGATTTAGTGAAGTGCCGTATGCAGGTTTGTATTGAGATGGCAACATTGAATGTATCTATCATGTGTGACTTAATTCCAAATAATTTTAAAAGGACTTCACAAACGAGAAAATTTGAAGACATCACAACTGCTAGAAACTTTTGTAGGAAACCAAACCCAAGTGTTCTTAACTCATGATCTTTATTTTAATTAGTGTTTTAAATTGAAGAAATGCCTCTTTTAAAAATAAGATTGTAGGCAGATTTTTGGATCTCAAACCCTGGCTGTAAATGCTATTTTGGTGCTGTGCTCAGTTCTGACAAGCGTTCCTCTTCAAGGCCTACTGGTTCTTTATGCTCCCAAATAGTCATTTTACAAGCAGTTAGATATTAGAGTAGATAATCCTCCTTAGGTTTTTTTTTTTTTTTAAGATTTTATTTATTTGAGAGAGAGAGTGAGCAGGGGGAGGGACAAGCTGACTCCTTGCTGAGTACAGAGCGTGACCTGGGGGTCCATCCCAGGACCTGGAGATGATGACCTGAGCTGAAGGCAGACGCTTAACCGACTGAGCCACCCAGGTGGCCCTTAGTGTATTTTTGAAGTAACTTCATTTCTCTTATTTACTGAGTAAGATCAGCGCAGAACATTATGTAGATTAGAAAAAATACTCTTCATTATTTTAGTATTAAAATTTTATGGGCATAGCTTTTTGTATATTACATAACAGTTTTTTATGATTAGAATATCTTAATTAGGATTATTGAAACAAAAATAATCAAACGTCAAAAATTTATTTGTCCCAAACAGGATTAGAAGTCTACTTACCTAAAAGAGAGAGGAAGGTGAAATAAAGGAAGGTGAAGTGTTAGCAGGGAGAGGAAGGTGACGTATACCAGCCCTCGTAGTACTGGCAGATAGAGTGAAATTAAGATTTTTTTTCTTTTCCCATTAGTTAATAGAATGGATGTGAATATACCTTCACTGAAATGTATGCATGTCTCTTGAAGTGAATTTAAGTCAAAAGACAGATTCTCATTATGTTGATTTACCTTTTTAACTTGTATTTAATTTGCCTTAAGTTCATAAAACTCTATAACATAAACTTCTTAATGGACTAGTGTGTATCAGGGATATAGACTTACCTCTTAACTTAGGCAGTAGCTTGAAAACTAGTTTTTTTTTTTTTAAAG